TATCTCTGGACCCCAGACTAGGACCCCTCTCTCTTAGTGGGTATGCAGTCCTCTTCTGCAAGAAACTAAACAATCTAGTCCCTCGGAGGGGGCCTTGTAACCTGCAAAAGCCCTAGAAGGCCGTAGGCCACCCTGGAAACATTTCCATTCTCCAAACTCACCTTCAGGTTTTCTTCACCAGGAAGGTTTCTGAGATCACCTACAAGCACTGACATTGAGGCCAGGGAAGCTTTTTGGAAAGGACAAGTAGCTGATCTCCATCTTGGGTCCTTAGGATATTGGATGAGACAAACGGGGCACCCTGAAATCAAAATCAGGGGTCCTTCTCTTTACTCTCCCCTTATGTCCTAATTATTCCCATGTCCCCTGCCTTTCTAGTCACTCAAGGAGGGCTTAGTGTCTGTCTATCGCCGGAACTGGGATCAACCTTCTTAGAAGATAAGGCATATAAAGAAAGTAAGGAGGAAGGAAGGAAAGAGAGAGAGAGGAAGGCTGGAGAGAAGTGAAGAAAAAAAAAGAAAAACGGCTTGGGAAGGAGGAAGGAAGAGGTGAGCGGCTAGGGGAGGCGGAACAATGAAGGTCTCAGGCCGTCAGAGGCTCACGGTTCCTGCGGCACGTCCGTCCCGCCCGCCTCCAGCCGGCAGCTGCACACAGCGCAGCGTGAGGGCGCTGAGTCACTGTCCCAGAACAGGGAGCCACGGTGCAGGTCTGGGGGGGTGTAGGGGGACGGCCCTGGATGGCATCTTCAAACTGTTTCTTTTTTTCTTTTTTTTTTCTTTCTTTCATTAAGGCTATGTGCTGACTCCCACGTAGCAGAACTTATTAAACCGCACGTACTGCTTGGCTGCGCTGGGCCTGTCTCAGCTGCCTGCAGGGGGCGCCACAGCCTCGCCCATGAGCCCGCGGTTCGCGGGCGCTCAGGCCCGGGCAGACCCGGGGTTACTGGGGGTTACTGGCGGTTACTGGGTTTTCCGGAGGTGTCCCAACGCATTGCTGGGGCGCCTTGGAACTTTAACAACCGCGGCAGGCAGGGGGAACGCCTCTCTTAGAAGGCCTCAGAGACCACCCCAACTTTTCGAAGCGCGCTTTCGCGCAGGGTTCTGTGAGCAACCCTATAAATCTAGGACTCGGTTGCGCAACCCGAGAGTCCAGGCTTGCCAACCCACTAGGGCTCCCCCTACCCCCGCCCGGCCTGGCCGCCACGCCAGGCGGTGACCTCCGGCGTCTCCGCGAAGCCCTGGTTCGCACCCAGGACACGTGCTCTGCGCGCCCCACACAGAGAACAGAGCTCGTGACAGCTCAGCCGGCTCAGAGTAGAGCCAGCACCTGCGCGCGCTGCCGTCCCACGTTCCCAAGCCCGGCGGCGGGACCCCAAGGCTCCTGGGCGGGCCGGGACCAGGGCACACTCCCTTCCTAGACGCGAGAGCCGAGCCGAGAGAATGAATCAGCATTGAGACAGTTTATTGGTTTGCTGTTCGCATATCACCCATTTCATGTAAATAGATTATACAGAGACTTGGTGTTTCCTTCTTCCAAACAGGAGGTAATCAGTCTTTCTCTTTCATGCACACAAACACAAACACACTCACATTCCACGCAGCGAGCAACTTTACACCTCACTGAGACATTCACGTCTTAAAATAGGGGGAGGAGGACAATATAATTGCTTTTAAAATGCCCTTAATACAATATATAACGTACAAAAATATCTCTGTATTTGAAGTTACACAAAAACTCTTGACAGCAACAAACTTAAATATTGATAGTTACCTCTATAGGTACAACACGCATTGCACTTTTCCTGTCTAGGTTTTGGAAAGTTCAAGTAATAGTGAGGCTTGTGCCCTGGTGGGGTGACACGCCGTGAGAAATCAGTTTGTGGGCGAACACAGCTGTGGCTCAGACCCCTGCCCCGGGGGTCTCAGCATTCATTTCTCAGTTTCTCCTCTCCTTAAGCCTGGCAAACATTCACTCGGATTCTGCTGCATCCCGCCCCCACGGGGCACCCGCACTGAGCAAGGCTAAGGAAGCGATGCCCCCAGAAGGAGGGGCCCTTGCAAAGCCAGAGATCGCCGCCGGACGGTGCTTCCCGGATTCGGGGTCTCTGCAGGGCTGTCACAGCCCGGTACCCACACCGCTCGGGAAGTCCTTCGTCCCGGGAGGCACTAGCGGGATGCTTGCGCGACTGTTCGTTGTGCTATGGGCACCTGAATCCTAAAGTGGGGAGCACTTCCACTCGGCGGAGGTGGAGCCCCAGGTGCTTGTGGCTTAGAAGACATCAGAGTCCGACCCGGGTCGGCCTCAGGCAGGGAGCGCCGGCGCCGGCGGCCATAGCCCTGGGGGCTGATCTTGCTCCTGGGGGCGACGTTGTCCTTGTCCTTATCTGTGAACTGGTAGATCTGGTATGCCAGCTTCTGCACCGTGCATGTCCCGAAGCGGCAGCCAAAGCTCCGGAGGCCCTGCAAGTTGTTCATGCTCTGGCGGTAGCGCTTGACTCGGATGCGGGCGGCATCCGGACTGCTTCGGGGGAGGGGGAGAGAAAGGCAACTTGAGACCCCATCAAGCAGAGCTTTGGCCCCAACACCGGGAACGGGAGCCATTCTAGGGCCAGAGGGAGCTGGAAACTGCTCGCGCCATCTGAGCTGCGTCCAGCCCCGACGATCCCCCGGGCCAGGGGAGTAGAGACGGAGAGCTCCTCCCGCACACCTTCCTTCCCTCCCGTCCCTGGACAGCACAGGGCGTAGTTACCTGTCTTCGGGGCTTGGAGAGGCACCCTTCATGTCCTGGGGCCAAATAAGAGTCTGGGCAGGCCCAGCCTTCACGTCAGCGAGCCCAGTGGGGTAGCTGCTGGACATCCGCAGTTCCCTCTTCCCACGACTCAGAGCCCACTTATTCCACCTGGAAAACACAAGCAGACCGAGTCGCGTGCGTTCAGGCGATGTCCTGGCCTGTCCCTGCTCCCATTCACTTCTAGACCTTCGGGACCAACAGTCAGTTCCCCTTGCCTGCCAGGTACCAGGACCGGGGACGGGATTTGCCCCGGACTCACTTCTTTCGAAACTGCGATGCGACATCCAACCGAGCGGTGTCAGCGCCTAGGAAGGCGAGCGAACCCAGGTACATCAGCGCGACAGAAACCAGCTTCATCCCCGCTGAGAAGTGCAGACCCTGGAAAAGAAGAAAGAGTCGAGCGTGAGCACCCGGGCCAGCTGCACCACCCGGGCGGGGCACGAAGGGCGGGCAGGGGCCCCGGCGAGGCGAGTTTAGCCCGCGCTTTCCCTGGCGCTTATCTCCCTCGGCGCAGAGAGGCGCCAGAGGCGTTTGCACGCGCCGGCCGGGTGACAGGCCCCTCACGGGAGGCCGCTGCACCCCGCCAGGCTCCCAGAGGGTCTCTGCTCAACTTCTTGGAACTTGGCTGACGGAGCATAGGGGACTGGGTCTCTGGATCTCCGGCTGTGTGCACGAGCTGGGCCCAGGATATGGGGTGTATCCCTCAGAGAACCCCCCAAAGTGGGTTGCTCCCCTCACCCAGATCTCCCAGTTTAGGGCCTTGGCAAGCACTGCCCCCACTCCACCTCTTAACCCGCAGCGTCTGCGGCACCTACCTGCTAAGAGAGTGATCTGCCAAGTACTTGGAGGAGAAAGTCTCAGACGTCTCACTGGCAATGGCAAAACCCCAAAGTCCAAGCCCAGCTGCAGTGAGAAGCCCGCAGTGGCAAGGCTCGAGCTCTTCTATCTAGTGTCACCAAGAAACCACTGAGTGGCCAGCTCTGGTTCCTGTGCTTTATAAGCGCACGGGTGGGGGAGCGGCGGGGCGGGGCCTGTGCTGCCCAGTTGCCTTCCCTTTCTTTCCTAAGCCACGCGCGCTCCTGCTCTCGGACGCGCGCATTGCTTCCTTTGGGGCTGGGGTTGGGACGGGGGGAGGGGGAGTTGTGGGGAGAGGAGGTGCCTGGTGCCCAGAGGGCTTAGGTATGGGCTCCGGGCGGTTGGTGCAGGAACTGCCACAGCCCTAACTCTTTGGGCACAGGGTTCAGACAGTACGCCGGGGCGAAGGGGCGCCACTGCAACCTCTTGAGGTCCTTATCCAGGACCTATGAAGCCCGGAGTGCAAAGCCTCCTGGCGAAAAATAGCAAGAGCCCGCGGGAGGGACCGCGCGGATGGCCCGAGCCCCGGACCTGGGGAGCTGTGGACTCAAGTGGACCGCGCCCCCTGCCGGCTTGGCGCCTGACCTGGCCGCGACCCCAGGCTCCCGCGGAGGGGCCGGGGCAGGGACCCAGCAGAGCCGAGAGGAGCAGGACTCACTAGTACCCCAGAGGACCGAGACCCCGGGGTTTCGGGATGGGCTAGTAAGATTTCACAGTAGGGACAAAGCTCAGAAAAGCTAAATTGAGAATTGGGATTTGGAGGGGGGAATTATCTGAAATTTCAGAATTTACATTTCTATTTGGAAACATAGGAATAACCAAAATTAGGAGGAAATATACTGTTTCATTTTGCCTCCTTGTAATCCTATTATGCCTTATAAGGTCATAACCTGAGAGTGCGCCTGGCTGCCTTCATTCATCCATCGTAAACGTGAGGACTGACTGCCAGGGAGCACACTAACGCTTCACGTATGCTAATTATTTTACAGTTTACCAAGCACGGCCACATCCCAGTCTACTTTGAGCTTCACACCCACCCTTGAGTCAGGCAAGGAAGGTAACATTACTTTTCCCATTTCAGCAGGTAGAAAATTCAAGCTCAGAGAGGGGAGGTATCTGCAGAGAGGGGAAGTCACCTTGCAGGTAGGAAGCAGCAGAGTCCCTACTCGACCCGACACGCAAGCACGGCCGACTGGGGCGCGGTGTAGATTCCTCTAGGCTGGGGTCACCGTCTTCTCAAGGGGGAAAGGAGAGTCCTAGCCCCCGCCCAAAGAATTTGTGCCTGTTCATGATGAATCACGCTAAACACGTTTGTCACCCGTTTGTGCTCTTCCATCACAGCTTCTGCTCTTTCTTAGTTCTCTCCTGGGGGCCAAACTGGGAAGGAAAGGCTAAGCCACGGGGCTTCCTGCTTCTTGCTTGTGGGTTTCTGGGGTCCTACAAACCACTCCTCTACTCGAATGTCCTGAAGCCCAGCGACTCGACGGAGAGGCCAAGGGTGCAAGACCACTAGCCAAAGAGGCTTCTAGTCCTCACCTCCCGGCAATTCGCTGTGTGAAGGTGGGCGAGTCACGTCCCATCTCTCGTGTCCCCATCTTAGAGCCGGTCCTCAGCAGACCTTTAAGCTTCTTTCCTACTCTGCCATATGGCTCTGAGCTCCGGTGCAAAGGCGGCTGGGCGGTGGGTCTCGCGGACCTTGCCCAGCGTGGTCTGTCTGGGCCGCGCACCGCTGGCTCAGCCGCCTTTTCACTCTCGGGACTCTACAGTGGACATTGCACCTGGGGAAGAAATGGCCGCGCCGAGGTTGTTTATTTTAAGGACTCTTCCTGGAAGAAGTCACCTGAGCGGACCTGAATTACGTCTGAAGACGGAGGACAGATTCCGGGCCCTGACCCTGGCCCTAGTAAGGGGTTAGGACGCAGGGGGTTCGAGGAGTGCAGCACGGAGCACTGGTCGGGATCCGACCGCCTGGCTGGGCGCAGGGCGGTCACCGCAGCTGCCTGGCCGGGCGGCTAGTCCGTCTGCACCGCAGACAGCAGCTATTACTGCACGCCTGCTGGATGACCAGGAGCCTCCCCAGCCTAACTATTGTTCTTCTTCCTTGTCTCCCATTTCCTTTTCCTTTCACTTTATCCTCTGCGAGTCAAGCTCTTCCCACCGATCCAGGACTGGCTATCAGTCTCTCTGAGGATGCGACCTACTTGTCGCCACTTTCCACTTGGGTCCACGCCAGGACAGGTTTTACTTTCATTTCTCCCGCGCGTGCCTCTGACTGCTGGAGAGGTCAAGGACAGCTAGGCGTCGGCCCACAGCCAGGGAAGGTCCCGTGGTCTGGACTCGTTCCTTCCAGTCTCCACCAGTCCTGGGGGGATGGGGCGGGGCGGGGGTGTTTGTTCTCCAGAGAACTCTGCGACTGTACCTCCCTGCCCTTTAGAAAAGCCCGTGATTCCGTAGGGGAAACTGAGCTGTCGCTCTGCCAGGAGGATCGCGAAGCGAGTGCTCTTGGTTCAAACACCTCTTTGAGCTGCAGGCGGCTTCAAAAAGGAAAGCAAGCCCAGGAGTGGAGGGAGACTCAGAGGCTAGGCTCTGCCAGCCTCGGGTGCCTAGGCCAGCAACGTTGTGGCTGTGCCAAGAATTCCCACCTGAGAGTCTTTGCACGCACCTTATCAGCCTGGTGCACTTTGTCGCTCTGGCACTTAGAGATCTGTCACTTGAGAACCAAGTCAATTCTTTCTTTAAGTAAAATCTTGGATTGGCAGCTCAAAGGATTTTGCTAGAAAGCCCCTATCTTGGAGGGGGTGTGTGTGTGTGTGTGTGCACGCTCCCCACTTGCAGGGGCCAGAGTACTCCCCAAAGCGTCGTGGGTTTAAGCCGAAAAAAGATAAGGAATTTGTTAAATCTGGGCATCTATGTTTTTTCTCGTGAAATCTCAAATTTGCTTAATTAATGATCGTTAACGATAAAAAAAATCACTAGAATGCATTTCTGATTCAATGGTTCTATGGAGAAGGAAATGCTGCAGTGGGAGTTCTGATCCTGGGGATTTGTTAACATAAGTTGCATTCATTCAAGTGGCAGTGATTGTAGATTCACATTGAGCAAGGACAGTACAAGGAAGGAAGGAAGTGGAGGAAGAAACATCTTTAAAGTTTCTGGCAAGAAAAGAGAAAGAAAAAGAAAAAAAAAACCCTTAATGAAGATCTACTTTTTTTTGTGCTCCAGAATTTTAAAAGGTCAGATTATAAATAAACCTCCAAAGCACTGTAATAAATGTGTACATCCTGACATTAGAGCAACATACATACACATATGCTAAAGGGTTTTTGCATAATGGTGTTTCAACTTCTTCACATTCCAATTGAATGATTTTTAGGCCCTACATCCAAGCCTGATTCTTAGAAATGTTTGGAGTTTTAAAAAAAAGTGTGGTAGTGGTTTATCAGCCAGCACTGTGGACACAGTTCCTAAAGCCAGAGTGGCCATACTCAGGTCTTTCAGGGAAGCAATGAAAAATAATAAATATCAATGATATTAATAAGAATAAATAAAATGTAAGTAGCTAAGTGCATTGCATAATTATCTCAGATGCCTCCTTTATCAAACAGGAAATTTTATGATGCATTTATTATTAATATAGTTCAAAATGTCTATTAAGCTGTTTACAAAGTTCACTTGAAAACAAAGTTCAAGATGCATCCTGAAGTCATAACACAAAGTAGAGAAAGGACACAATTGGCCTTGTGGATTCGATCACTTACAGGGAGAAGTAAAGCAGGATACAAAGCCCAGGGCACTTTTTTGGGATCTCTGACTTCTCTAACGACCTAATAAAAATATAGATCCTTTCCAGAAAAATGAACATGTACATAAACCAATTAAAGTATAAAATAGGCATACAGTTCTGGGAGGTTGACCAAGTTTAAAACCCTGACACAGAATAAAAAGCACTGTTTCCATATTTTAAATTTCTGTCTGGTTTGCAGTGGTAAGGGCAAGGAGGACAGTTAACCTCCCTCTTTAGGGCATAATACTTTCCAGAGCATCAGCATAAAGAAAAGTAATGCTTTTGCTGCCCCATTTTTGTGTTCCTGTACAAAATAGGCAGAGAGTAACAGTCAGTTCTTGTACCTGATAAAGCCAGAAGGCAAACCTCCCTGAAGCTTAAATAAGGTAAATCGCTGCAGAACAAATAAAAGAGAAGAGATTATCCAGTATAGTGGCTCATGCCTGTAATCCCAGCACTTTGGGAGTCCGAGGCAAGTGGATCTCTTGAACTCAGGAGTTCAAGACCAGCCTGGCAACATGGCAGAAATCCATCCCTAAAAAGAAAAAAAAACGAGACAGAGAGAGAGAGAACAGAAAGTAGTAAACCTAAAGAAGCTTGTTACAATAACACCTGTAACAAGACAAAATGAAATTACTTCAAGAGAAATTTGCTACAGAGGTCACAATAAATGGCATTAATGAATGGATGATAAAAGAAATGATGATTAGGCTATTTGAATCATCCATAGCCAAAGAGAATGGTGTTAATGAGAGCAACCATCATGTAAGGATCTTGTGGTATCAGATTAGAAGCACCTGGAAAGAAGCAATTATTTTATATATGTATATACATTTATATTTTTTCTTTTTTCTTTTTATAGAGATGTGGTTTTATCATGTGCCCAGGCTGGTCTTGAACTCCTGAGCTCAAGAGATCCACTCACCTCAGCCTCCCAAAGTGCTAGGATTATAGGTATGAGCCACTGTGCTCAGCCAAGAAGCAATTCTGATGTATAAGCCTGAATGAATTGATAGTGTATTCATTCTTTCTACAGATATTTACTGATTATGTATTATGTACCTAGCACTGTGCTAAGTTCTCAACATACAGTAATCACCAATGCAGTCATCAACAAACTTACCCTCAATGAGCTTACAGCCTAGTGACGTAGCCAGATATAAACAAATCCTTATTGGAATTACATATTTACATGATTATAAACTGTGTTAAGTATTCTGAAGGACAAAGCAAGACTGGGGGATCTAACATTCCAAATGGAGGAAACAGCATGCGCAAACACTCATAGATGGGAAAGAACTTGGTACATTAGAAAAAATGAAAGGAGTCCTATTTGATTAGAATGCATTGAATGATGGAAAAAAGAGGCCTGAAATGAGATTAAAGAGGTCATCAGGGTCAGAGTAAATAGGACGCTTTCAGACATGAAGATTTTGCACTTTATTTAAGGTGACATGGAAAACTATTGACAGGTTTGAAGACAAGAGAGACATGATCTGATATACATTTGTTTAAATGATCGTTTTGGCAATCTGATATACATTTATTTATTTAAACGATCGTTTTGGCAATCTGATATACATTTATTTATTTAAACGATCGTTTTGGCAATCTGATATACATTTATTTAAACGATCGTTTAAATACATTTATTTAAACGATCGTTTTGAATGTGGTAGATAGTCGAGAAAGGAGCAAGAAAGGAAGCAGCGCAGTGGTGGTACTCTAGAGAGACTGGAGAGGGCCTAGTCCCCCCATAACGTTGTTTATTATACTCCCTCCCCCACATACATATACTCATTCCACCCTGAAGTTTACCAGCTTCACTGACGTGCATTCTGTTCAGTAGCACACGGCCTGCTCTCAGAAGAGCCCACACTTGGTGGAATGCTCTGCTGAAGCTGTTTTGAAATTCTCCAACACTTCTGAACAGGCAGTCCTACATTTCACTTTGCACTGGACTCCACATATTATGTAGCCAGTCCTGCTCATCAAACATGCAATCTAAGTAAAAGCAGCCTATAAACTCTTACAGTACCTACCTATACTGTAGCTGCTAATGTCAGGGATACTTCAAATGAATGTTAAGATTCAACCATTCATCTCATCACACATGTGACCTCAACTGCAGGACACTTTCTTTTTTTTTTTGAGATGGAGTCTCACTCTGTCGCCCAGGCTGGAGTGCAGTAGCACGATCTTGGCTCACTGCAAGCTCCACCTCCTGGGTTCACGCCATTCCCCAGCCTTAGCCTCCTGAGTAGCTGGGACCACAGGTGCCTGCTACCACGCCCGGCTAATTTTTTGTATTTTTAGTAGAGACGGGGTTTCACCGTGTTAGCCAGGATGGTCTCCATCTGCTGACCTCATGATCCGCCCGACTTGACCTCCCAAAGTGCTGGGATTACAGGCATGAGCCACTGTGCCCGGCCAGGACACTTTCTGTGTCATCTATGAAGCTTCTTCTTTGCACCCCAAACACACTCAAGATAGAAATGGTTTGTTTGCTATACAAATTTAATTTTGAGACAGGTTCAATAACCTGCTTACTGTCCTTAACTTTTACCTATACAGAAAGTTTGGAACCAGCAGTGAAGCTAGGAAAATAGTTAAGAACCTATTGCAATAATGAAGGTAGAAGGTGATAATGGCTCAGACTAGTGGGGTGGCAGTAAGAGTGGAGAGAAGTGGACATATTTGGGAAGTAGGAACAATAGGACTGAGTGATGAATGTGGGGCTGAGAGACAGCTGTCAAAGGTAATATTTATTAAATTTCTTGCTTAGGAACTAAATGGTTGAAAATATAGCAATGGATCAGGGAATTTTCCAACACAGCTGCATAGTCTCCTTTGTTACGCTTTGGTAGAGATGCTCTGAAGAGGCCCTAGCCCTGCCTGCTGACATTTCCTCAAGTCGAACTCTCATACTGCCTCCTTGAACTACTGTGGCTAACCACAGCAAGCACTTGAAATGACTGTACAGATCAAACCACTTACTCCGTAACAGCCCACTAGGAGCAATGGGCTGATACGCCTCGCTCACTGATAATCAGCTCTATTTTGTCTTTTTGTTTTGTTTTGTTGTTTTTTTGAGCTGGAGTTTTACTCTTGTGGCCCAGGCTGGAGTGCAATGGCGCAATCTCCGCTCATTGCAACCTCCGCCTCCCGGGTTCAAGCACTTCTCTTGCCTCAGCCTCCTGAGTAGCTGGGATTACAGGCACCTGCCACCACGCCCAGCTAAATTTTGTGTTTTTAGTAGAGTCATGGTTTCACCATGTTGGTCAGGCTGGTCTCGAACTGCTGACCTTAGGTGATCCACCTGCCTCGGCCTCCCAAACTGCTGGGATTACAGGCGTGAGCCGCCACGCTCCACCTATTTTGTCTTCTAAAGCAAAAAAGAAAGGCATCTGCCAGGTACACATCGTGAGAGTATTACATATCCTTCCTCCCTTCCTGCTCCCACCAGCCTTCAGGAAAACAAATCTGGGCTTGCTTTACTCTCTCTCTCTCTCTTTGGTGAAAGGTGATGGTGGTTATCGTAGGGGATGGTCTGGCTTTCCGCCAACCTCAGTAATCAGGCTGCCTTGTCAGGGCTTATCAGTTTCAGCAGCCTGGCAGCTGTTGGCTGAGAAGCAAAGCACAGCTTTAGTGTATACAAAATATGTTCACATGTATATACAAACATACAGTGCCTTTCTACGTATACCTAGGATATGTTAAAATCTCTATGTGACA